TGTCCAGCGGCGGCGCGGGTCGAAGGCTGAGGGAGGGGCGCGAGGCGGGGGCGTCGTCGGGGGATCCTAAGGGGGGAAAAAGGTGCAATAAATGTTAAAACCAGTTGAGATAAGCAGAGTGCTTCTCCTTGGGCATGGCCGGCGTGGGTGCGGTTAGTGACGGCACACTGGCAGGCAGGAGCAAGCCTCCCAGATTTGTGCCCTCTCAGAAGTACCTGCCGGACTACGCTCCAGCAGAGAAAGGCGTCAGGAAGTAAAAAAAGACAAACAAACAACAAATGCATTTGGATTCCGTTGTGGTTTTGCACAGGAGCTCCGAATGCAGGAGGCCCGCTTTCCCCTGGGGCGGTCAGGCTGAGCCCCTTGTCTTGCTGCAGGCTCTGCTGAGGGTGATGCTGCTGGGCCCAACGCTGCTCTTCATCTCCTCATGCTTCTCCCAGGGGCTTCTGATCACCTGGCTTAAAGCTTACACCTCGTCAGGAGTCGTTGTCCGTGAAAGCACTTGTGTTCCTGGTTCAGCTGTGTGATGGTATAAGTGCACAAATGAGACATGCTGAAATCTGAGAATTTGAGCCAACTATTATATTCTTAGCATGGGGTTTTATAATCAGGTAGCCTTCTGCATTCTGTATTGGTCAAGGAGGTGAATCAGCTTAATGCCACAGACGAGTTTGTGACAGTAGCAACGCTACAGGATTCATAAATATCATATATGCATTAGGTGACTGTTTTTATTACAAATGTTTTATTTTGCTATTATTTTAGTTTTGAAATCCACTATGGCAAGATAGGCTAAGTGAATATACCATGCAATTGCTTTCCAGATAGCTTAAGCCAATGATTTTCAATGATGATGGAGATCCTTGCACATTTATTTCCTTTACAATTTTCACGGTTTTCCTGCATGCTTACTGTTGCAAGGTTTCAACTCTAGACAACCTGAAAAGCTTAGAAGAAAACTGGGGTTTTTTTTTGTATGGACAGCTGGACTACATGTTATCATCAGCCAGTTTTTACAACAATCTGCATGAAGCCTGGCTCTTTTGTGGTCTGCTGGTTTTTTCGGTTTGGTTTTGTTTTGTTTTGTTTTGTTTTGTTTTGTTGGTTTATTTCCCTAACCAAAGGTTACTATACAAAAAGTCATTCAGCACATCCCAAACCTTTTAGGACAAAATAACTTCATTTTTGTTCAAATAGCACCACTTTGTGGTCAGTTCTGGTAAGTGACGCTTTCCTATACCTAGCCATGTTAGAAGCAATGCTGAAATTGTTTAATCGAAAGACAAGAGGAAACTTTGTTAATCTTGGGTGAATAACAAAAGGTAACAAATTTTGGAAGTATCAGATGTGAATCTGAAATCTGAAGTGTTTTCAGAAAGAGAGATTTAATCAATTTCCTGTGTTGTTAATAATTTCTACTTAACACTTAAAATGATGTTCACGCTTTTCACAGAGCTGTTTTGATCAGGGTGACTGGATAATCATACTGATAAACAAATGATAAAGTAAATTTATCACATATTTGTTCAAAACTATGAAAATATATTTGAACTTAAACAATTTGCTTATCTCAATGTGCAATGTCTAAGAAGTTTTAAATATTTATTTTTCGTTTCTGAATTAAGCCACTCTTAAATCAATATTCAGTATAAAGCGTTATCATAAAACTATGTATTATGCTCATCTATATTAAGAAGAACACATACACTCTGTCTCACTGTGTGTATAGTTAATCTATAGAGTCCACAGAAAACTTACATAGTTTTGTAGCCATAGATATCATCTGTACTTAGTTACTTACAGATTCTGATGAAAATATTACATAGAAAGAGATATTTGTACTCAAAATGTGATTGTGTACAGAACTAGCTCCATGCATCTCTTAGTAGAATTATTCTGTGACTATCTTTGTGACCTGGAAGACACTGATTTCTGATTGCTTAGTATTCCACAAAAACAAACAGGAGCATCTCCTATAAATGTGTTTGTAAATTGAACTTCTTTCCTGTTAAGTAAAGGTTACAGGTCTATTCAACTTGGCTCAGTTTCCTCTTAGGCAGATAAAATCTATGTTTATTCCTAACAGTTGTTTGCCTTACTAAATGGTGTGAAGGAAAGCTGCACTTGTGAAAGAATTGGTCCATGTTTTGTGTGTGAACTTATGCCAGCATACAAATTGACTAGACTTAAAGGTATATTTGGTTTATACCTTTGGTTTCCATACTAATGGAAACATTAGTATTCACCTTTTTTTCTTTAAGTCTTTGTTAAATAAAATTATAGTCAGTGCACTTTCAGAGATGCTTCCCTTACTGTTCTACATGTACAGCTCTTTTCTTCTTTCTCTTTTACTTTTTTCTTTTTTTGTTAATGAAAGAGAACTAGATTGTTGAGAAGACCCAAAATAGCCATTCGTTTATATGAAAGACTGGGCTGCTTATGGTCTTAATTGCCTTGAGACTGTCAGTAATGTGTGAGTATTTAAAACATGTTCTCTAATATATAAATGCATTTGTATGCATCAGTAGTACAAAATATCATCATTTAGTCAAATCTGGCAAAAAGGGCAATGTATGTTAACATAAATTAAGCCCAAGAAAGAGGTATGCCATCTTTACTTAGAGGAAGTGGCAGAGCATTAAATTTTTCTGTGAGCTCTTCCACTCATATACCTTCTTATTTCATGGTAGAAAACATGATTTTTACTTCTATCTGCTGTTTTGCAGTTCATGAAATACTATTTATACTGAAAAAGATACTAAAACAATGTTTAATCATATGCAGGTTGGATTACAATATTTTTAATACCTGCCCTTCACTGCCTTTGGAGACTATCTATGTTTTTTTCCTGTTCTCCTTTATTTTTCCTGTTGAAAATTATGAATATGCCAAATTTTATTAACAATACGGACTAAATAATACTGCAGAGGAGTAGAACATATGTTCTTTGGGACAATTTGTCTCCTTTCATTTTATTATTTCACACTACCATTATTCTGACACATGCTATGAATCAGAGCACAGCTATCATTTTTTCTTTGCTGTTATTAGGTTTCTGGCTATTAAAATGATTAATCTGCTTGTTAATAATATAACTACAGTTTTGTATTCCAACCTATTCCCCAAACACTCATCTGTTCACAGCACAAGAAGAATTAAGTAGTTTATGTGATAAGATTTAAGGATTGTTTTTTTGCCAGGTGCTTGTACTGATGTCTCCCATTTGGGCTGTGGATTTCAGCGTGGAGTTTTCCTGTAATGCTTGTTGCCGAGGATCAACTTATTCATGGTATAATCATGGTATATATAGACATTTCTGAAATGTAGTAATCCATTAAACAAGCTTCTCAGTCTATCTTTCACATGAAAGGGGAGCAGGATGCTTGTGTGTTGTATTGGCCGTAAATTTGTTGATGTAGGTACACAAATGGAAAGTTTCCTAATAGCAGATCTAGTTGAAGACATCCAAAATTACTGTGATTGCTCATGTGGTGTTTTATAATCAAAAGATTCTGCTAGAGAGAAGGAAAGGGGAGGGAATTATTTGCAATGCATCTAAGACCACCAAACACTTGCCAGTTAAAGTTTGGATTGAGTTATCCACATCTCCATGGTATTTTCATTCTACTGGTCTCTAATTTAGACTTGTACAGAGCATGCCCATTTGAGAAATTACTGCATGATGGAATACCTTCTCTTCAAATTGAGCTGTTTCATCATGACTGATCATGTTAGCTATTTGAACATTTTCTCCTCTGCCTTTCAGAATCTTTTCCAGAAAAACCACTGCAGCTCTGAATCTCTCAGAAAAATGCTATTTCAGGAGCAGTAAGTTATGAAAAAGATATAGAAATATTAAAGTATATCTCCAAAGAATAACATTGTATTTTGCGAAGAGATCCATTTTAACTCTGAAGAAGCTAGAATACTTTCATCAGCAAGAAATAGCTCAGCTGAGAGTTACTGTGTTTATTAGTGCAAGCAGAAACACCATTAACAAAGCTATATAGCTTCTTGTGTTTATCTCTTGACAGGACTGTGCACTCTGTATGTCTACTCTTGGGCAATTGAAAAATTCTTATTTTTCAAGCTATGGAGTATTTGTCCAAGGTAACAAGACCAGAACAATGAGGCTGGCCTTGTCATTGGCTAGACGAAAGGTTAATCTTTAATTTTTAGTATTTAATGTATATGATAAAATCTCAGCTGGCTTCTTCTAAGAACTACTTGCCAGGGACCCACTTGAAGAGACTTTTGTTAAGTGATGTTCCACCCTACTCCCAATATATTGAGTGCATTACATTTACTGAACTACAAAGTTCTGTCATCACCCCCAGGCACTGACACAAAATCATTGTGGGTGAGGCGTGGTCCTATTTATAACGGGTGGAAATCAGGTCATTGTCTCTCTTGTTTACTGATCTGTTTAAACTTTGGTTTCCATGAATACTCATGCTTGGAATTTTGATATTTGTTTTTTTTTTGCTAGCAATTTTTGCATATAAAAAAGCAGTAGCTTGATTTTCTGTAGGGAAAAAAGAGGCCTAAAGTCTGTTATTTTATCTAACTTTGTCTATGTTGTTTAAGCATGCAGTCCTGCCAGTGTGAATCTACTGCTCCTGAGACTGAAAAGCAACATTTTTTCATGAACTCTTGTGAACCCATCTCATTCTGTTTCTTCCCACTTTAGGCCTAACTATAGATCATGCTTAGGATTGCCTTTGCTTCCCTGTTTAGCCTTGCCTGCAGCATGGTCCTTATCTTCTCTTGTGAATTGTCTATGTGCATCAGTCACTGCTTGGTTATGTCATTTCTCTCCTTTTGGATTTTACTTCCCTTTGATAATAATGTTAAGATAGAAAACA